CAGATTTCGATAAGGTTTGGCAGAAGCGAGCAGATAAAGCCAAGGAGGCCGCTCGCCAGGCTTATCAACCAAATTCTAGAGAAGTCATGGATAATCTCAATAAGCACGTTCACAAGTAAGGCAATGAATTGAACAGAGTGACGATTAGGAATAAGGCTTTATTCGACATTGTTGTTTATATAGAACAATTTTGTTTGTTCAATGCAGGTCGATAGATGGCAGCAACAGCACAAGAAGAAGGGATCTACAAAAGAATAATGGTCCATGCATGGCTACAAACCCTATTGATCAATGCTGGAGGTGTCACAAAAACTGGGCACGAAATCGAATGAAACTAGCCGATTGCGCGCTAGGGTTTGGTCGACATGCCACCGGAGGCAAGGGTGGGAAGATTTACGTTGTAACGGATTCATCGGACAACGATGAAGTTAACCCTAAGCCGGGAACTTTGCGCCACGCCGTGATCCAACCAGAGCCACTTTGGATCATATTTGCACATGATATGGTTATTAGGCTAAGTGAAGAGCTCATAATGACTAGCAACAAAACAATTGATGGGCGTGGAGCACGAGTGCATATTGCCAATGGTGCTGGTTTTACCCTACAATTCATAAGTAATGTGATCATTCATAGCCTTCGAATTCATGACATTAAAGCCGGTAGCGGTGGCCTGATTAGAGATTCCATAGATCACTATGGCTACCGGTCGAGAAGTGATGGCGATGGCATTTCAATTTTTGGGGGCACGAATATTTGGATTGATCATATTTCCATGTCAAATTGTCAAGATGGACTTATTGATGCCATTGAAGCTTCTACGGCCATTACCATATCCAATTGCCATTTCACCCACCATAATGAGGTAATATCAATTGTTGTTCTATCTAATTATGGAATTTCTTCCTTGTCTTGCCTTTTTTTCCTTAATCCAAACAAAATGCTTGCATTTTGAATTTTAAAGAATAATTTTCTTTTTTGGGCATGTTTGGTAAGAGAGACTTCATATTTATAATCTTGTTCATACTGTTGATACTGAGCATTGTCTAAGCAAGAGATGATTTTAATAAAAGTTGATAAAATTTGTGGGTCCCAAAAAATGTGTGGTTAAAATTCATTATTGACTTTGATCCAACTTGTAGCAACTTCTTAAGCTTTTGCCAAAGAAGCACTAAATATGAGATTTATCTTCCTAGATGGAAGAAGAATGAATGATTCTATTACCTTATGCAGGTGATGTTATTTGGAGCAAGTGATAGCTACTCGGATGACTCAATAATGCAAATCACCCTTTGTTTCAATCACTTTGGACAAGGATTGGAACAAAGAATGCCAAGAGCGAGATGGGGTTTTGTACATGTACTCAACAATGATTATACTCACTGGCTCATGTACGCCATTGGTGGAAGCCAACACCCTACCATACTTAGCCAGGGCAATCGCTTCATCGCCCCGCCAAATGCTTTTGCCAAAGAGGTAAGCATATCGATCATTTTCAATATGTTTGGTGGGCAATATTAAACATTACACTCGACAATATCTGCAGTTATGCCATGATCTCAAATACGAAAAATACTAAAACTTTAGCTTCTTTCTTTTCTTCTTTAATGTTGTTCGTTAATGTCCCTTCCACCTCAACGAACACACACAACAACAAAAAATAAATAAAATTTACAGCTGATTCTTGAATCTGATGTGTAGGTGACAAAGAGAGAATATGCACCTGACAGTGTGTGGAAAAATTGGGTATGGAAATCAGAGGGAGATGTGATGATGAACGGAGCCTTCTTCACACAGTCTGGAGACCCTAATCACAACTTTGGTGGGGGTCCTGATATGGTCAGCCCAAAGCCTGGAACATTTGTAAATAAGCTTACACAATTTGCTGGCGCTCTAAGTTGTACTGTAAAAAATAAGTGTTAACATATAATTTTGTATGAATTAATCTACTTCTACAATGATGGTCGACAAAGTTTCTTGACAATGTTTGATGTGGCAAAATCCGGATAGTTCATTTAAAAAACAATTTTTCAAATTTTTTGAAATGAATGAATATGATGATGCCAAATCATGATTGTCAACAAACCTTGTCAATCATCATTGTACATATAGCATAATTGATTATGTATGTATAGACGGAGTCGTCTTCTTCTTCTTCGTACAATGAATGCCAGAAGGCCTGGCTGCCTGAATTGAGCTCAAAACGTATCAAGAAGGAAGCCAAAGTAGATTTTCTTGTGTACCTATAGAAAAAGTATAAAAGGATACTCATTTCTTGTGTGTATATATATTTGATAGATCTTTTGTAAATAATTGAACTGTTATACATATATTGAAATGATGATCTCCCTTGGGTTGGAACTTGGACTGAACAAGTTTGCACATATCTATGTAATCATCTTTCCGTCTTTCCAATTTGTCAATAATTTGTATTTAAATAAATCTGATTGGCAAAATATAGCCCCCATATTTTGTTGAGCTAAAAATTCGATTTTTAGTAAATTTTGATAAAAATTAATAAATTGTGTAATCGAAAATAAGTTTGAAGAAAAAATAAAGGTCAATCGAGACATAAAATATAACATTGAAAATAAATGTTTTGCGTTATGGGTACAAATACACTATCCAAGTTTGGGAGAAATATATAAATTATTCCGGGGACTTGGAGTTCGTCTCTTGAAATTTTTGAAAATCTATTTTTTCCAATTTAAAAATCGAAAGCTAATTTATAGTATTATTTAGGGTGATGAACGAGCAACAGTTTGAATATACAATTGAACAATGTGTTTCGTTTTTTGTTCGGTAAGCAATTAGTAACATAAGGTTAAATTTACTGAGCACAATTAACTACATCTTATTTTCCATTGAATGTGACAATTTTCATCAAGATTAATGGATTTCACTCCAACCGTGAATGAGTAACAATTTAATATGAGTAATGTTATTCGTAGTAGTCTTCACACGTGGTATATATGTGGTAGTTTATAATTTAGTGAGCAAGTCAATAAAAGATTATCGTATTAATGCATCAAATCACAAATTGTCACATATACGCCATGTTGAAAGACTACCGATGATTTTACTGCGGATAGCATTATTCATTTCATACATAAGCAAGCGAGGTAACCTTTTTTTTCTCAATTAATATCCACTTAATTAACTAGCAAGCGTGTGCCAATAAGCGTGTGGGGACAGCCGACGGATGCAAGAAAGAATGAATATCCACTT